TCCCCGCAGCCTCCCCAGCTCCGCGCTGTCACTTCACCTCTCTGAGCCAGTTTCCTATCTGTAAGCGAGGCTAGCACCACCCACTCTTCTGGGTGTTGGTGAGTCTTGTTTGGGATAAACGTGCTGAGCTTAGTGCCTGGCACACCACGGGAGAACTGGGCAATTGGTAGTTCCCCCCACTGGGCCCAGACTCTTCAGGCGAAAGGAGCACCACACGCAGCCAGGGTCCTTTCCACTCAGAGGCCACAGAGCACTGAGGGGCAGGGACAGAAGTCCCTCCTTGGCTCCTTGCCTCTGTTGGCCCTGTGCCTGCAGCCCAGCTTCTGTACGAGACTGCCACTACCCAGCAGGAGGCCCGCAAACGCCTTTCCCTTGGTGATACCTCAGCTTTTCCTGGCCCAGCATTGTTTCTATCCTCGGACTCACTTCCCTCCAGCCAGAACTGAAACCTTTCCTCTGCTGCCCTTCCACAGATTTAATTCTTCACCAAGCCCTGCAGATTCCACCTCCTGAAAGCAAGTGGCTCTGAAACCAGTCGAGCCTGAATCCTGTCCCACTTCGAATTACTTGTGTAACCTGGGGCAAGTGCTGCCATCTCTCAAATCTTGGCTCAGCCATTTACGCATTGTGTGACCTTGAGCAGATTCCTTAACCTCACTGAACCTCAGTTTCCTCCTCTACAAAATGAAGATAATAGGGTTGTTGTAAGGATTAAATGAGGTAATACGTGTAAAGTGCCTCGCACTTAGAAGGCGCCACAGATTACAAGCTGTGTGATTTTGCGCAAAGTTTTTTTTAAAACCACTCAAAGCTTCAGTTTCCCTGACTTTACCTATCCCTCAGGGTTGTTATATTAAAGGAGTTAATCCATGTAAGTTTCCTTGCCATACACCTAGTCCACAGTAAGAATTCAATAATTACCAGCTGTTGTAACTTTTATCCTCCTAGCCACCCTATTGCCTAACCGCCTCTGGACAGGGAGAGGCCCCGCTTCCACCTCAGTGGGTGTCACCACCTCCTACCCAGCCACCCCCAACTGTTGCCTGTGTGCGTTTGTCTTCTGTCCTTCCCAGTCCCCTGTTGTAAAATGGTAGCTCAAGTTCCCTGTTCTGACCTGTCAGGGGCCCGGTGTTAGTTACTGTGTTTTTGGTTTACTCCCAGCTGGCAAGGCTTATAGCCACCTCCATGCAAGCCCACAAGCCCACGTACAAAAACCTTGCTAACTCGTAGTTTTATCATTCATAAATGGGCATAATAATTGTGCCTATCTTCTAGATAATTGTGATTATAGTACCATAGAAGATCATGGCTGTAACATGAGTAGCAAGTGCCTGGCAAAACGCGCTGTGGCTACCACTTACTAAGCACTCGCTCTACGCCAGACTTTTGTACCTGGGTTTGTGTGCTGGCGTGGAGGTTGTCACCAGTGTTGCCAGCTTACAGTAAGCCAAAAACACAGAAACTAACACCCGGCCCCCGACAGGTCAAAACAGTGAACTCAGGCCACCGAACAACCTTGTTTGGGAAGAGGATTGGCAACCATTTTACAACAGGGCCTGGGATTGGAAGGCAGACAAACTGGCCACTAAATAACTACACAGGTACAGTTGGGGGCAGGAGTGAGAGGTGGGTGTTAGTAATGCCCACTGGGGTAGGGGAGGGGACTTTCCTTGCCCAGAGACAGAGCATAAACAACTTTTAATGAGCATGTGCCGTGTATGTGTGTGTGTGTGTGTGTGTGTGTGTGTGTGTGTGTGTGTGTGCACGCGCGCGCGCGCACGTGATATAATAAGAAGCTACCGAGGTGGTAGTGAGAGGGCTGAGAGCAGAGAGGTGACCTTGACCCAGAGGGGAGTGGGCCTATGGATAGAGCCAGCATGTGGCAGGTATGAGATTTGGAACCCAGGTACTTCTGCCTCCAAAGCCTGTGCTCTTAATCATTACAATAGTATTACCTGCCACAGAGTAGATGCTCAAAAAATATTTGTTTTAATGAAGGAATTCATATTGCTGCCTCTTTCTGCAAATTTTTCTCCCTCCATCTCTGCCTGAGCCCATCCTTCAAGGCCCAGTTTAAATGTAGCCTCATGCTCAACCTATATGCCCTCTCTCTGTTGCTCTGGGGTGGGGGAAACAGGGAACATCAGTGCTGGGGTGAGGACGCATGGGGCACTGGGATGGGCCAGCTGGGATGGAGCCACAGGAAGGACTCTGAGTTTTGCACAGAGATAATTCTCCTGAGTTTGTGCACTGGTTTTGAAGTTGCTACAAGGACTGGATACACCTAGCACAAAGTAACTCACATTGGGCCCTCACTAGTCAGAACAGTGAATTCCAATCACTTAGCAACCATGCGTGCCGAGGAGCGCTGGAAGTCATTCAGGGCAGGGGACAGAGAGGAAAGGGAGACAAAATGTCTGCCACTGACCCACAGTAAATGTGTAGTAAGGGAGAGGAGGCGAGAGAAAGAGAGAGGAGTTCGTTCTAGTGGAGAAGTACTGCTCCAAGGGTTTTAGGGTCTTTAAGCCCCCGGGGATTTAGGGATTTGTAATTCTATGCTATATAATACCCTAAAACCGAGGATATTGGGATTCCAAGGATTTTAAACCCCAACAACCTATCATACAAGGACTCGAGCTATTTTTGAGCTATGAACTGCTGGAAGCTTAGGACTCACAATGAGGATTTTAAACGGAACACTGAACATGTTAAAATATTAATCCCTCTTAGAGTTCAAATCAATCTTGTTTTAACCCTTGGGACAGTGGTTTCCAAATAGTCGTCCCCGCAATCTAGGGATCCCCGCAGGCGTCTCACAGAAGGGAAGGACACCAGGAAGGACACAGGAATTCAGTGTCCCCATTGTGGCATCCACCGGGACTGCTCCAGCTTTATTTGGTTTATACATTGGGTTTCTGCATTTGATTCAGAAGAAGGGTATTTCTGCTAAAGCACAAAAAAATTGAAACCTCTGTCCTTGGCCTTCCATGTATTATTTTTTCTTTTTTTAATGGGGGACAAACACTGCAAAGATCCTTTGACTGGTAAACCATCAAGTGGTGCCAGGGAGATCAGGTGGAAGTGATTGACAAATCAGTCACTAGTTGGGTAAACCAGTCATCAACTGACTTTAGCCTATGAGCTCACTTCTGTTATAAAATTAACAATAAGCACTACTACAGCTACTGTTACTCTGACTGCTACCACTTTTTGAGTGCTTTTGCTGTGTGCCGGGGGGCTGTGCCAAGTACTTTTCATATACTCTTTCATTAAATCCTCACAGCAACCCTGAGAGGAAGTAACATTGTTTTTCCCATTTTACAGATGAGGAGACTGAGGCTTAGAGTAGATAAGTAATTTGCCCAAGTTCATACAGCTAGCACATGGTAGATTCCATCTCTTACTTACAAGCTGAAACAGAATGGACTAAAGGAATTATAGTGGTCAAAGGTCAATTGCCTGGCAGTATTAATTAAGGGACAAGGTTAAATTTTGACCAGTAGGTGGCGCCACTGTGAGTTCGGTGGCCTGCTCAAGGCTGTGTCCAATTCAGCAAAGTCCCAGCAGGCTCAGAACTTAAGCAGCCTGTCTCAAGTTGAGCAAGAAGAGAAAGAAAGATGGCCAGCATTTTGCTCCTGAATCAGGTGACATTTCTCTGTCCTGTTTGTAGCTAAGCAAAGATACAGGAAGCCAGCAAGTGTGTGTGTGTGGGGGGGGGCAGAGGCGGTTCTGCCAAGAACTGCTTTAAGAAGACCTGAGAATCTTCTTTCTTCAATGTTTCTGAGTGCCTCCTTCATGCCCGGCAGTGTGGTGTGTGATCAAGGCAAAAGGGGATATCAAACACAGACCTATCTCACTGCATAAGAAGAGGGGCAGATGCTATGGTAGGGGAGGCACTGAATGCAAATGTGGGCACCCAACTTGGAGTTTCTCACACATGTAAAGGTGGAAAGGCATTCCAGACAGAGATTTAAAGCTACAGAGGTTAAAAAGCATGCCACATTCAAGGACAGGGAGCGTAGGCTTCAAGTGTTGAGAGATAAGCCTGAAGAGACAAGCAAATGAAGGGGAGTAAGAAGTACAAACTTCCAGGTATAAAATAACTTACAGGATATAACAGGCAGCATTAGGGAAATAGTCAATAATATCGCAATAACTTTGTACATTGACAGATGGTTACTAGACTTATTGCGCTCATCACATTGTAAGGTAGTCAAATCATTATGTTGTACACCTGAAACTAATATAATATTGTATGTCAACTCCATATATTTTAATAAAAAGTAAATTTTCAGAAAAGAGAGACAGTCAAGAACCAGCCGATTGGACAGCTTGGAATATCAAGTTAAGGGCTTGATTTGTGAATATATGAGTAGAGGAGCCATAGATTCTCAAGAGGATCTGTGACCAAAAATAAACAAGTTCAGCTGTTGATGAGGCAGTGAAAAACCATAGTAGGGCCTTGAGCAAGGGCACACCATGATCTGATTGGGTGGCCAGTATGCAGGAGGAATTGTAGGGGGACATGCTAGAGGCACGAAAATTAGTCGATGAGTGATTGGCACAGGGGTAAGGCATGTGGGCCTGAGCTGTGCTAGATACAAAGGGAATTGAAGAAGTCAAATTGATACGACTTAGTAGCCCCAAAGCTCCCCTCCACACATGTACACACTCATCTCCAAGGCTCAAGTGAGGCTGCACCTCTCACCACCCACCACAGCCCACAGCCCTAGTACCAACTTTCAAGTTACACTTTGGGGGCCTTTTTGCTCACCTTCCAAGCTGTCTTTGAAGTTTAGTCTAACGATTTCACAAGTTGCCAGAGAAAGCCTGGCCCTGTGCTGGGCCCCTGGCCCTACATCCCCATCTGTCAACTGACCTCTGAGAGGCCTTCAGCTGGTCTCTGACCCTGTGCCCATGGCTTCACAACATGGACAGAGTTAAGAAATCAGCACAGTTCCAGGAAAAAGGCAAACATCATCTAGTTTATTTTTCTCCTGAGTCATCTCATGCCAAAACAGACCCCAATGGATAGCAGGCAAAATGGGGGGAGTTCCCCAAGACAAGCTGATTCTCTAGATGCCATCTTCTTTTCTTGCCAGGTCCATCAGAAAGGCATCCCAACTTTGCTTGGATCTGGTGTTGGTATCCCTGAAGGGAAGCCAGAAATCAGGCTTTCCATGGGGAGACAAGACTTTGTGGCTATCTGGAAGGCTGGGGAGTCAAAGAGCCCCGAAGAGTGACTGTTCCCCTGCTTATGGGCGTGCTTTGTCCTGATATGCTTTCTGGGGGCTTCAGAAAAGCAAGTCTTCCTTCCCCTAGAGCTCTTAGGACTCTCCTACTGTGAACACAACAGCAACCCAGACAATGAGATGTCAGAAGCCCGGGCTCACAGGCCAGTTGGGTACAACCAATGTGAGCTGCTGACTCAAGGACCCAAATTTCAATCCAGAGAGCTGTACCTGGACATTCCTGGCTAATCAATGCCCTGGAGCCTTGCCAGGTGTACAGAACCCTAATCTGACTCTGATTGGCTCAGTTTGGATAAGTCAGGGGCGGGGGAGGAGGATGAGTTGGGGTCCTATGTGGTGCTGACCCTGATACCCTCACACGCCCTTCTGGCCACTTTTCATCTGCCTCCTTTTTCTCTTCCTTTTCTTCATCCTCTTCCTTCTCCTCCTCCTCCTCTTCGCTGTTTGAGTCCTCATACAGATTGATGGTTGCCTGGACAGGGAAGTTCTGCAGTAAAATCTCCCCATCACTATACAGGTAATCAAAGAAGCGGGATTTGGGCCAGAAGAGCCTGTGGACAGAGAAAAAACTTAGACAGGTCTCATATGTGCAGGTGAGGTCAGTAGGGCCAAGAACGAAGCCAGCCCCTAAACTTCTCCTACCTGCAGTAATGGGGTGAGAGGGAAAGGAAGAAAGAGAGCTTTGTAACAGAACATTCTGAATTGTTACAAAATGGCTCCAGGCAGGAAGGTAATATATGGTGGACCTATAACTGTGGGGAGCTCCAGCCTTAGCATCTATCAATTCTGATGCTGATCCCACCCCCACCTAAGAAGGTCTTTGGCCAAGAATTCGCTAGAATTCTCCTGTGTCCTCCATCTCCTACTCAGGCTTCTTTCACTGACCTGTCCATAGGGGCTCATTCTCAGGGGTCACTGACAATGCCTCCAGGGAAGATAATCTTGGTCAAGTCCCTTAACCCCTCTGAGCTTCAGTTTCCTGGTCTATGAACTAGTGATCATAGCAGTGCCCTCCCCACCAATCCTGTTGTGCAGGGCTGTTGTGAGGATTTAAAGAGCTAATGAATGTATGTCAAGTTCTGAGTTTGGTGCCAGAAGCTTACCTGACGGGGTGATGGAACTCAGAGTCAGCTTTGGTGACCTCAGCACTTGTTGCCCCACCAGTGGCCTGTTCAAAGCAAAAGCTAGCATGTGGCTCAAAGTACAGGGCCAGATAACTGACTCCACTGTATCTGGGGTCAGCAACCTGCAGGTAAGATGATCTAGAAGAGACCTCAGACATCTCTTGGGTGCAGCTCCTGCTCCCCAACCCAACAAAGGGGTCTGTCCTGGTTCTGGTTGAAAAGCAAGTGGATAGAGCACTGAGGATCGTTGGCTTGCCTGCCTCCATTCTAACACCTGTTTGGAGACTGCCCAGGAGACAGAAGAATTTTACTGGAGCAGCAGATTTGGGGGTGAGCCCGGGAGAAAAGCACTGGGACTCAGTGCCAGGAGAGCAGGATTCTAGCACCAGCACTACTACAGGCTAGCTGTGGGGCCTGCCCAAATCCTCCCCTACGCTGAGCCTCAGTCTCTTCATCTTTCAAAGTGCACAGAAACCTTGGGTCTGCCCTCCTCCTAGAGCTGCTGTGAGAATCAAATGTGAGCATGTGAAGATGGTTTCCCAGATCTGCAGCCCTGGGCTGTGATCAGAGGTTTTCTGGGAAGGGACGTGGTTACACACATGGGAACATACATGGCTGCATGTGAACATGTGTAACAGGGGCTCAAACTCACCAAATCCCCAAGTTTCCTCACTGTGCTTGGGGAGTCATTTGTAGAGCACAGCCAGGGCCTCCAGAGACAACTGCGTCTAGGACATAGAGGAGAGATCCGTCAGTGGAAGAAGAGACAAGAACATGGGCTCCCTGAGATAACCAAACAAGTCTCTAGAACACTTGGCTTGGAAGTCATCTACTTCCTTAGGATGTTTTTCCTAAGGACCCTGAGCCCGGGTCAGGACAGATGTCATTCCTCTTTGCTTCAACAATGTTATCATTGCTCTTATCGCAGTTTTGTAATTGTCTGTTTACTTGCCTTTGAACTTCTTAAGGGCAGATTTATGTTTGATCATATCTGAATCCCCAACACCTAGCACAATGTAGGCATTTCAGTAAATATTTGTTGAATGTGTTAAACGTTTGGAGGAATGAATGAGGGTTGGGTGGAAAATATCTTGCCCTCTACCTCCTGCTCCAGGAATCTCAGAGCCCTACCATCTTCCCGGGCTGGAGAAAGGGGCCAGAAGTCTTCCTGAGCCCACTTCTCCCCCACTAGACTTCCAGAGGTAGGGAAAAAGCAAATGGAAATCTTACGGTGTGGTCAGGAAAGAGACAGTCCCCCAGTCAAAGGCCTCTTGGGACTTTGGCCCTCTTCCCTCCCCCCTCTACACCCCCCATGTACCTCTCAGCGGACTGAGCAAATTTGCCCATGAGGGCCTGGCTGCTCAGCTTTCAGCTTTGGCAATGCCTCCTGTCCCCAAGTCCCTCCTGTCGCTCAGAGCGATTGGTGAGGTGAAAAGCCAATTGAGAGATTCCAGCCTGATATACTGAGCGACACTGTGAGGGCGGTGAGGCCTTGTTTCCTTCCCTTCACAGAGAACCGGGGCACCCTGGACATCTCACGTGCCTTCCTATCCCAGACACCCCATGAAGCCAGAGTTCAGGTTGCCAAAAGCCAAGCACCACTTACCTTTCACTCCCATCTGCTTCTTGTCCAGAAGAGAGAGGGGGCGATGGGCTTAACAGGCCAGGGGGTGCCAGGGGGACCTTTGCTGGGGCTGGGACTAGACTTAGGGCCAGGGCTGAGACAGGGGCGGCAGCAGTAGCGGGAGCCGCTAGATCCATCCTTAGGGGGTCAAGACCCAGCAGGCAGGGAGGGCTCCTGTTTCTCAGAACCTGCTGCACTCTTGGCCTTTCCTGGGAGACCCTTTATAAGACCTGCCTGGACTCATAAATTATTCATGGCCGTGCAAGGGTGGGGGAGCTGGGAGGTGGAATGAAGACTTCAGAAAGGGGCTCAAGGAGGGAGAGCTGGCTTCCTGGGTGTGAAATCTCTCCCAGTTGAATAAACAGAAAATCAGTGGGGGGGGTGAGAGGTTATCATTACCTCCAAGTCAGAAAGAAAAACACAGAAGGGACAAATCACACACCATTTGTGCAAATCCCCCAGGCAGCAGCAAAGCTGAGGGGAGGACAGGTGGGAAGCTCATTAGGACCTGAAACCACGGAAAGTTGTCAGGCACTAGGGGCTGGACAGACAGGCTTTTAGCAAAGCCAGTTCCCAGCAAGAAGGGGTCACTGACCTAGCGAAGGAGAGTGAGGGACTTGCACATTATTTCATCTCAAACCCCAAATATATTTGCCAGGCCGTCCTGACATATAAGGTGGCTGCCATTAAGCATACCACCTGGGTTAAGAAAAAAAGCAGGTTCTGGGTGGAGCAGGTCTAGGTGCCAGTGGGGTAAACCTCAGGTGTTCTTTTCATGCCCTCCCCTTTACTGGTCAGTTCATTGGTAAAAGTGCCTGAATGCCCTCTCCAGCCTCAGCAATAAGTGGTCCAGTAAAGGAACACAGGCAACATTTTCAGGGCTCCCAGAGCAGATTCCAAATCTCAGAGCTGTTTCCAGGAGCCAGGGTGCTGGGGGAAGGCAGAGTTGTGCCCAGTTGCTAAGCTGCTGGAGACTATCCCTGGCCCTGAGGCCTAAGTTATCTCACCTGTAAAAGGAGGGCGTGAGCCCCGTGGTCCCCAACGGCCCTGAAGTGTCTGAACATTCTGTGATAAGAGCTGTGTAAATGGGTACTGACCTAGGGCAAATCCAGGGGCTATAGCACAGCCCTTGACCATAGGAGTATTCTGGGCTTTTGTCAAAAAGCTTCCAGTTATAACTACAGGCAGACTCCTTATGCTTTAGAAGTCCGGAAAATATGCTTCCTGAACTCAGTGTCCAGCATCAGCATGCATTTAGCTTCTTGGATATTCATCACAGTCTGGTTTGGGATGGTCAAAAATTAGAAACAACCTCAAATGTCCAATAATAGGAAACCAGTTACATTAATTAGGGTAAGTCCTTGCAACCAAATACTAAGCAGGCACTCACAATCACATTCTAGCATGTATAATTGTCAACACAGAAAGTGAAAAAAAAAAGATTCCAAAAGAATATGAATAATTTGCCTCCAGGGCTCCTCTTTTCTCCAGTCACCACTTCAAATTCCAGCCCCACTGTGTTCTTTGCAGCAAAAGAAAATTGGGAACAACCTAGACGTCTCACTTTAGAAGGCTGGTTAAATAAATCATTTAACAGTTATACAATTTCATATTAAAATTGGTTTGGTAGTAGATTGGGGAAAAGTTAATATCCTGAAGAGTGGAAAAAAGAAGCCTCGACAATATAACTTAGAGGATTATCCCATTTTGGTAAGAAAAAAAAAGTATAGAATGTACAATATGCAGAAAAAAGAAGACGGGTTAAGAAGAAAAGAGAATGTTACAGTGGTCGGTTGTGAGGGTAAGATGATGATAAATTCTTCCTCCCTTGTGCTTTTCTGAATTTTCTAAAAAGCTCCTCAAGACCTGATGTACTTTGGGTAATGAAAAGTAATGAGATATAAGAATAAAAAGAATCGGGCCGAGTGGCGCGATGGTTAAGAACTGGCTTGGGACGCCAGACGGCCCCGGTTCGGATCCCACATATGAGGGCCAGTGACACTGCCCTCTACAGCTAAGATGCTGAACAACAGCTCAACCTGGAGCTGGGCTGCCGTGAGTCACCGGCGACGGCGTAGGCTGCAGTCCCTGTGGCAGTGGGTTGCCATGGGCTACAGTGTGCAGCCAGCAGCCAGCGTGAGCGGCCAGCAGCCGCAGTGAGAGGCCATCCAGAACCCGGCGACTGATGTGCCTCGCCCGGGAAGAGCGCAATGATGGTGCCAACTTGGGCCAGTGAAGCAACATCCTCCACAACTAGACTGAAGAACAAAAAGACAGCAACTTGTCTGTTCCCCTTCCCCCAATTCCCCAGTGCTGTTCCCCCAATTCCCCAATAAAAATTAAAATAAAAAAGAATAAAAAGAATTGTTTATCCGTGGAGGAGAGAAAACTCTTGGGGGAAATGGCAGCCATGTTCAAGTATCTGAGGATTAGACTGCAATGAGATTACACTTGTTCTGTGTGAGTTCAAAGGACAGGATTGAGGCCCATGGGTGGAAACTACAGGGAGACACATTTTGGCTCAATCAAAGGAAAACTTTCTAACAGCCCAGCCACCACCTAACCCAAGGGCTTGGCACTGCACCAGCCCTCAATAAAACAGGTTTATTACATGTGGTGAAATGAGTGGTGCAGTGGAATGTGCTGCCTTGGTAAGCTCTCTGTCCCTGAATTGTGTAAGTGCAGGCTGGATCCTGGATCCTGGGTCGGAAAATCTTTCGGGAGAAAAGGAGGACTGTTGGGGAGCCCAATTTTCTATCAGTCCCTGAGGGTGCTGGCTAAATTTGTCTCCAGAAAATGAGAATTTGCTTGTGCTGCATCCCTGACTCAAATGAGGAGTGAAGCCGAGAGGAGCCAGGTTGAAGAGCCGGCTGGAAGGAGACGGCATGTGAAGGGGAAAGAAGCAGACTTATTGTCGTACCTTGGGATCTTTTTGACCTGTAGACGGCCCTTGTCTCTGAAAATAGGCACGAGGGAAGAGGGAAAGGGAGGGGTGAACATTCCTCCTGAGCCCCTGGCCCGTGCCCAACCATACTTAGCCATGCCACCTCCCATCCTCAACGTGTGTTCCTTCAGCCATAATCCTTCACGATCTTCATTGCCCTGAGCAGCAGACCTCAGGGTTGCCCTCACACCACTCTCCAGCATGCTCTCTGGGAGCCCAGAGAGCCTTCAGGCCTGTCTCCATGGCTCTTTGTTCTCCCTACACAACTGCTCTATCTTGCTACTTTCTAAGAATTGCTTCCGCCGCATTCAACTTGTGGGATATGAAGCCACAGGCCTCTCTTGTTGGCCGCTTTCCAGCCTGAAAGTTTAAGGCCTGCAAGTGTTGCTGGGTAAAAGCAGGCACCTGGCTGTTCTCCTTTGCACTCGGCACAGAACATGAGTAAGGTGCCCAGCAGGATGGCAGGAAAGGTCTGGAACAACCAAAACGAAGAAATTCATGTTAAGATAATTACGATCCTACCTCAGTGATTAATTTGACAGATCCTTCTGAGACAGCTAGGTGCCTCCTCTGGGCCAGACACTGCTGGGCATTGCCTGGCAAAGAATAGACTAGAAAAAGGCAAGTGCTGCTGACACTGCCTCAAGGTGCTTATAGCCTATGGAGGGAGACAAGACCTGCACAGGAGAGAACAGACTCAACCAACCTCAGCTGTACCCCAGTACCCCTCAGCCACCCTTGAGCATGTCCCCTGGTCAAGTCCCCAGCTCCAGCTGCCACATTTCCCTGGACCACGTTCCAAATTTTCTTCAGCTCCCTACCATGGTCTTGCCCCACACATCTCCCTGCATGGAATAGCCTCTCCTCCCACTTCCCTGAGAAAACAGAGGCCGTCAAGCATGAATTACCTCAGTGCCCTGCCCCACCCCCCAAAATTGGCCTGCTTCTCCAGCTCCCCCTCCAGCCCTCCCTTCTCAGGGAACAAGGTGCCCCTCTCTTGTTAAAGACTAATCCTTTTGCCTGGGCCTCAGCCTCATCTGCCCTCCTTCTCTGGGCCCTTCCTTCAGACCTTATGCCCCGTCTCTTCAGGAAAGTTCAGCTTCTTGATGCCAGCGCTTTGTGTTCTGATTATAAAATGCCTGTCTCTGTCATCCCCCAAAACAAACCCCCTCCCTCCTCAGATGTGTTCACTTGCTCCCCTAACTTGCTCTCTTTCTCTCTCTGTCAGCCTCCCTCCTTCCCTCACTTTTCTTTCCTTTACCCTCAAACTTGTTGAAACTAGTGTCTATGCTATAAACTACCACTTTTTCCAGTTTCCCATTTGCACCTCAACCTACTGCAATTTGGCCCCAGCCCCATCCTTCTAGTGAAAGGGCACTACCAAAGGTCACCAATGACCTCCTAATTGCCAAATTCAATGATCTCTTTGAACTCTGGGTGGCAAAAGACACTGTAGGCCAAGTCCTCATTTCTGAAACTCTCCTTCCTCTCTTGGCTTCCATAATCACTCTCTCCTGGTTTTCCTCCAACTTCTGGAGACATTCCTCCTAATCTCTTTTGGTGACCTCTCTTCCTCTATCCATTCCTCAAATCTGTGGTCCTCAATTATAGTCCACTGATCAGGCTAGTACACAGTGATGTTTTCAATGGTCACAGCAAAATGGGAAAAACAACTAACGTAGAGCTTTTCAATAATCTAAATGTATTCAATTATTAAGGACTGCCCTTCATTCTGAGATCATGCACTCCCTATTTTTTTATGGCGAAATATTCTCTTTTTTGAAAGGATGGCAACGGTGGATGTGAGTTTACTTCTTTCATGTCAAAATAAAATGTTAGTTTCTCTATGTTGGTCCCACTAATGTTTGTTGAATGACATATTGAGAATTATATTTCCAGCCTGAAATTCTCCCCATAGGTATCTCATACTTACTCCAAAATGGAACCGTTTTCTTCCTCCACAAACCTCTTCTTGTACCTGCCTCAGTAACCAGCATCATATTGGCCCAGTCACTCAAGCTAAACACCTCAGCCCCCAAGCCACATTGATTGTAGTCTTCACCATTTCTCACATCTGGCTCCTTTGTGCTCCTCATTTTCTCAGTTTTTTCTTCAGTTATTTTCTTGAGTTGCCTCATCTGACCTCTCTCACCCGGATGTGTGAAAGAGCTTCCAGATTGGTTCCCCTGTCCTTGACTTGGCCTTTCCAACCCATCCCCCTCACAGCCAC